ATTCTTAGTTTAGTATTTGTGATTATAACTTTATTTTTATATTTTTGTTTTATTTTATTTTTATCTTGTATTAATATAATACTTATAAGTATTAATACTAAGAAATCTTTAAAATAATTATAATCTCCTTTATCTTTATAAATAATTCAGTCTTTGCTCTCAAAACTTATTATAAACTATATTCATGGTAAAATCCACCTTTCAGAATATAGTTTGTAATAATATTTAATAGCCTATCTTAATAAAATTTTTTATAATTAAAAGTTTTTTATTAAATTTTTTTTGAAAAAATTGATTATAAAAAATTTAAAATATTTTTTTTAATTTTTTTTGTTTATAATTTAATAAATATTTATTTAAATTATAATATATAATAAAAAAATCAGATATTTTAATTTTTTCTATAAATATTTATTTAAATAATATAAAAATTTAAATATATATACTTGTAAGTATAATAAATAATTTTATTTAAAACTACTTAAACACTTATCTTATTAAATTTTTTTATAATTTATGTTTTTAAAATTAAAAATTTTTAATAATAAGAAAACTTAAATAAATTATTATAAATAAATTTGATTATTATTTTGCAAATTAATCTTAAGTAAACTTATTTACTAAGATAATTATTTAAAATATATTTAATATATTTTTAAAAAAGTCAAGTGATAATTTAAAAATAATAATATTACTTTACTTGATTAGTTTATTTAATTTTTAATTTAAATTTAATTAAAATATATTTGTAAAATCTTTTTAATTCATTTTTAAATAAAATTAATTTATAAAAAAGCTATAAATTATTTAAAAAAGTATCAAAATTAACTTTTATAAAAAATTAATTAATTTAATAATATAAAAAGTTAATAATATAATATAGATAAAAAATAAATATATAGAATAATAATCTTAATTTAATGATATATAATATAATTTTTTTAATAATAATTGATATTTTTTTAAGAAAAAACTTATCTTTAAATATTATTTTTTAGATTAGTTACAATAGATAAAATACTAAAAAAAATTAAAAATTCAAGTTAATTTAATTTTAAAAAATAAATAAAAATAAAAATTATATTATAAATATAATTATTTTAATAAATAAAATTTTTTTTTTGGTTTTTGATAATTTTTAATAGCAAGATATTTAAATTCCATTATTTTTTTCATATTTTATTTCTTTAATAAGTTATTATATAATATTCAACTCTAATTTGACATTCAACTCTAATATAATATCTAACTTTAATTATGATATTCAACTCTAATGTAATATTCAACTTTAATATGATATTCAGTTTTAATATAACATTTAACTTTAGTTATAATATCTGATTTCAGTTATAATATTTCACTTCAGTTATGATATTTGATCTTAGTTATAATATTTAACTTTATATCAGACAGTTATAACTTATAATCAGATAGTTGTAACTCTGGAATTTTAAATGTTTACATCCCTACTATTTAATAATAAAAGAATAAAAAAGTATTAAAAAACTAATAAATATTCTGTAATTATTTGAACAAGTACAAAGTTTTAAATAATTAACTTATTAATATTAAAGAACTTTTTAACATATACTCAACAACTTGTTATATTATTATTTAAATTCATAATACTATTTTGAAAAATATCGGGCTGATTCTGGATTATTAACATCTTTATTAGATTCACATTTTAAATCTTTGTTTTTTATTATACTTTAAAAAAGAATATGCATTTCTTTAATACATAATCTTATTAATCCTTTACAAAATTCTGAATTTTCTTTACAAACTACTATATCTTTGATTGAATCATCCTCTATGCTGCAATTTTTGAATATTTTAGTATGTTAAAACACATAACAATATTGTTGAAAAAACAGAATTAGAAATTTTTTTAGATTTTCCAGATCTTGCTCCAACTGAAAAAAGGATTCAATCCTTTGCTGAAAAGTTCATCATAAAACTTTTCTGCAATTATCTGCCATTATTTATCTATTCCTGCAAGTGTCATTCCAGCTGAAAGATTATTTTCTCAGGCAATATTCTTAAAGAGATTCAAACTATTTTTACTGTATATAATATAAATAAATACGATTTTAATAATGATAAGAATTATATAAAATATAAATTAATAAAAGATAACTGTATCGATAATTAACTGGTTAAAGAATTATTACTGCAAAAAATGTTCGAATCAAATTCAATATACACATAACGATAACGATTAATCTCGTTTGTTTTATTATTATTATCATTTCAAGCAATTCATGCCCATATATCGATATAAACGCATTTTATATCGAACTCAAAGATAGAATCAAATACTCGTGATTGTAGTAAACGCGACTATTCGTAATTGTAGTGACCATATTGATTTGATCATGTAAAAATAAACGAATTTATAATGATGATGACGATAAAGAATGCAACAAATTTAATAAAAAGTGACTATTTGAATGGATGGATCCCTTTTGAAAAATTTACCATCGTTATATATCTTGCAAAAGGAGGTTTTGGAACAATTTATAATGATTTTATAAACTACGGAGAAGGAAAAGTTGTGTTGAAATCATTACACAATTCAAAGCAAATTACTCCGGTGTTTATAAATGAGGCCATGAAAGTTATTGATATGATCAAATTTTTCAAAAATAATGATTCAGACTGCTCTTAAATGCAGTTATAATATTGAATATTATGGAATAACTAAAAACCTACCTACAAATGAATGCTTAATAGTAAAATTGATTTGAGATCAAAAATTATTTGCGTAATATTATCTTTAATCTGAAAAAAATTCACAAAGAGGAATTGACCAATATATTATTAATGCGTAATACTTCTCAAATTGCTGATATAGAAAAATCTAACCAAGAAATTTGTAGAGTATTTCTTAGATGCTAAATGGAAAATCATACACTAACGCTGCAGAAATTTATAACTTTGGGATGGTTGTGTACGAGGTTGTAAATGGTGAACGACCACTTGGTGATCGAAATCATTATACGGACTTGTATTAGATATTTTGCAATGGAATGACTTACGAAATTAAATAATATTCCCGGAAGGTGCAAATTTATTATTGAAAAATGTTGGGATGCTATTCCTGAAAACAGACCAACTGCTAAGAACTATATCATATCTACCTACAAAAATGATTATATCAACTATAGTTAGTGAAAACGGAATATTATATATATATATATATATAAGAAAAAATATAAAAAGGTGAAGATTTCGTAATCATTTTCAGTTCTAAAACAATGAAGGAATTAAAGTGTGACAAACTACAGATAATTGATTTTAACACGAGCCAAAGGTGATTTCAATTTCTTTGTGTTTATGCGCATATATTTAATATTGTTAAAAAATGATTAGAATAAAGAATTACGAGAACAATAAAGATACATTTCTAATAGATTTAAATCTTGCTTTCATAAGTTCTTTATCCTATTATTTTTAACAATTAAAAATTACTATATATAGAAATATAACCGGTTAGTCACGAGTTCACAAATTTCAGCCATAGTTAGAGGCAAAATTCAAAGCGAATTTTAGATGTTTGATTCAGACATTGATTGCATTATTAGTCACATACCGCCAAATGATTATTTTAGAATTGCATGTGAATTGGGTTGTTACCATTATGATCTGATCTTTTCGGGATTAGTTTCGGGCTGTGTGCGTCTTCAGGACTTTGTCTTTTCGGGATTGTGTGCGCCTTCATTCGCGATTTTGTTCATTCGGGATTTTATTTTTTCGGTATTCTGTTTTTGGGATTGTATTCTTTCGGAATTCTGTTCTTTCGGGATTTTGTTCGTCAGGATTTAGTACCGTCGGGATTTAGTTCTTCGGGATTTTGACCAGTACCCAATTTATTGCTTTATTGATAAAAAAATAAACTACAGAAAGGCTAGTGTTATTGGGAGAACTTATATTTCTTTTCAACCCGACGCTTCTTGGCATCCGGCGCTTTCTTGAAAATTACCCTTTCCTTAAGCAGACCCATAGCGATTTCCATTACCTTTGAGTGCGACAAGGCTAATTAATGTTACATGCCTTCCGTCGTAGTAGAGCACACATTATTTTGAACAAGAGTTAGAAGTGTATACACTCAGTCAATAAAGCATCGACCCTTATCAGTTGATACTATTCCATAAAGGCATTCATAGTCGGAATTCCCGCCTCTGATTCGGATAACACGAGCTTTCCAGCTGGGCCAAATTTTGCACGATGTCAATAGATGGGAGTACTGCTTTTCATCAATCTTTCTTAGTTATTCTCCAACTATGCGGACTACGAAGATAGCTGGAATGTATTCTCGGCGCATCTTACACAAGCTCTCCGGTAATATTTTTTTCGAGGCAATAGTGTAGACTTCACTGTCGTTGAAAAGTGGATAAATTTCAATGCAAGCTGTTAAGAATGAGATTATGTTTCGGAAATAACATACACCGTATAGTATATAAGCATACCTGATTAAAAATCGCGGTATATTAACCTCCTGGCGACCCTAAATACCATATCTACGAAATTTTTCTCTGTCAACTTGAAGAAATCACGTTCGGGAGCCTCGTTACGTAAGATTTCGAAATGAACTTCGTTGTAAAAAAGTGGTTCCAACTCAAATTCCCCTCTTTTAACTGTGAAAAATAATAAACCTACATCGCAATACATATTTTGTCACATGGGCTGGGTGTAATAGAAACGGTGTAAAATTATATTAAAATTTTTGACCAATTAAATTACGACTATGTGGGCTGAGTGCAATAGAAACGGTGAAATTATATTAGATATATTAGAAATTTCCACATGGTGTAATCTTGATATTCCACAATTGAATGACTTTTTATCAAAAGTATTTAAGGAGGTCTTAAGAAGCTTTTAAACCTCAACAATAACTAACTATCCATCTAATTAATAACCAATGATCCCCCTGGTCTTGCTCTAAACGACGACGAACGGCGAGCATTTCACGAAATGAACTAACGAGAACAGCGCCTTTACGAAACTTGGTTATTTGAAGGCACTTGTGAGACATATATTTTTTCATCGAAATTTTTTACTAAAACTGTAATAGCCCCTTCGACGTTTCTTCTCACGTCTCTTACGTTAGGACCTCGACAAAATAAAATCACAGGTACTACCTACATGGCCATTCTTATTCTACTCGCTGTTTTCAGTGCGACTCTCTATAAAGATGACGATTACAAATTGAAAATTTTTATAGTGGTTTTGAACTCCATGTTATTTTTTGTCGAAATTGTTGATGATAGAAAGGGATTATTTTGTATTATGGTGGGGATATTATTGGCTACATTATTACCAATATTTCTTAAAATCCTTTCTCCAACAATAACTGTATTTTTCGCCAAAGTCGGCATAATCTTTGCCGATATTCATATCAAAAAGTTTGAAATAGACCTTTGATTGGCTGTTGTCCTCAATTTGGCACACATGATTTGAGGAGCCTTTTTTATCGTGAATCGAATTGGATTTACAGTTACTATCGTTATTTTGCAATGTACAGTATATGCATATCAAAGAGTGAGTTTCGAAAGATAATAATTACATATTCATAGATATCGAAATTTTGGCCTGAATTAAGATCGCTAAAAATACGATAATTATATCATTATCTCATGAAATATTCATGATGAATCAAAAGTATTAATTTCTCAAAAAGATAGTAAAGATTTTGTCTAAAAAATTCTTAAATTTTCCGTTTTATATCAAATTCGACAATTACTTTAAGTTGTAAATACAGATTTCATAAGTTTACTATAATAAAAGAAAAAAATTTGGAATTATGAATTTGATATGATTTGTAAAAATATAAAATAGAAAAAATACTATTACTGTAATAATATAAAAAATTTAAAGAAAATTAATAATACTAAAATAATATATATAATATTATATTGTTTTATACAGTAGCAATCATAATTAATACAACACTTGAATTTTTTACTTATTGTAATTAGTAAATTATATGTTTTTTCTTAAATATAAAGTTTTTAATTTTACTAATAAATATTTTTTATTCTTAGCTCAAAAAATAGCTAAAGTTCTCTAGTATGACTTTTTTTACCAGGAACTTGTTCATATTGCATATATAGATAATTGATTTTTACTAATTAATAATTAATAAAAATTAATTATTTTTATATATAATATGAACAAGTTTCTAATAAAAATAATTAAAAATTTGTAAAATATATATATTAAACTGGAGAACTTTAACTCTTTTTTGAACTAAAAATAAAAAATACTTGTTAGTAAAATTAAAAACTTTTATATTTAAGGAAAAATATATATTTTACCAATTATAATTAATAAAAAATTCAAGTATTATATTAATTATGACTATCACTGTAATTCTAAAATAGAATTAATATAAAAATATAATAATACATAATTTTTATAAAAATAACATAAAATTATAGAAATATTCTTTTTTGAAATAATTAAAACTTTAAAATAATAAGAGTATACTATATTTATTATATAAAAATAAATATTCATATATTTAAAAATTTTTTAATTACTTTTGATTAGTTAATTTAATTAATATATATAAAATTTCTAATAAAAATTAGCATTTTAATGCAGTATTAGATATTTTATGCTATCTCTTACTATATAAATAAATATTTAAAATATATATATATTATTAAATATATTTTTATAATAAATTATAATTAAATTTATTTAAATAAATATAATTATTATATTTATATATATTATATATTATAAAAAATTATATATTATATATATATATTTAATAAATAAAAGTCTATAATTAATAATAATTTATATATATAAAATATAATAAAAATTAAAATAATTTTTTTATATTAAAATATATAAATTTTTAATAAATAATTTTTATTTTTATATTAAAATAAAGTTAAGAATTTATATCTTAATATAAAATTTTTTTTTGAAATTTTCAGATTCAATTTGAAAAATTTTTTTATAGTAAAATAATTGCAAAAATTTTTATAATTAAATTTATAATTTTAATTATAAAAATTTTTTATAATCACTTTACTATAAGAAAAATTTTTAATTTTATTTTAATATAAAAATAAAAATTATTTATTAAAAAATTTATATATTTTAATATAGAAAAATTATTTTAATTTTTATTATATTTTATATATATATAAATATTTATTTATTATAAATTTTTATTTACTAAATATATTATATTTTTAAATTATATTTTAATTAATTAAATAATTAAATATAATTATATATATATATACTAATTTTAAATATATATTAAAATAAATATTAATTATTTAATTATAAAAATAAAAAATTATAAAATTATAAATAGCTTAAAATTTTATCATAATAAATAATTTTAAAATTTCTAAATAAAAATTTTAAAATAAAATTTTAAATTTATATATATTTATTTATAAATAAAATTTCTAATAAATTTATTATTATATAATTATTTTATAAGTAAATAATTAAATAAAATTTTATATATAATTATTTTAAAATATTTTAATTTTTAAATTATTAAATAGTTTTTATTTAAATAAAATAATATAATAATAATTATAAATATTTAATTTTTTATAATTTTTATATTAAAAATTTTTTTATTTAAAATATTTAAATTAAAATTTATTTATTAAAATTTAATATAATTTAATAAATTAATTTAAAAAATTTGATATTAAATTATTTTTATATATATATAGTAATAAATAAAATAATATATTAAAAACTAAATTTGTTAATAAAATATAATAATAATTAAAATTTTTTCTTTATATCAAAATTTATAATTTTATTAAAAAATAATTTTTATTTTTATATCAAAATAAAATTTATTAATTATAGTTTAATATATATTTTATTAAATTTTTAAAAAAGTAATTCTAATTATAAATTTGTACAAAAATTTTTATTAATTAAATTTTATTTTTAATTAGTAAAAATTTTTGTATTAATATTATAATTAGAATAATACTTTTAGAAAAAATCTAAAAAATCTTAAAAAATATATATTTAATTATAACTAATAAACTTTATTTAATATAAAAATAAAAATTATTTCTTAATAAAATTATAAATTTTAATATAAAAAGAAAATTTCAATTTTCATTATATTTTATTAATAAATTTAATCTTTAATATATTACTTTTATATAATAAAATTTATAAATTTAAAATTAAATTTTTTAATAATTATCTTACTAAATTATTTATTATTAATATAAAAATACTTAAATTTTTATATATTAAATTTTAAACTTATAATTTAAAAATTATTAATATATTATATTTTTATTATTTATATATAATAAATTAATTTTAAAATTTAATACTTATTTAAGTTTTATTATAATAATTATAAAATTATAAAAAAACTTATAAAATTTAGATTTATATTAAAATAATTAATTCTGAATTTAAAAAATTAGAAAAATTAAATATTTTAAATTATTTATAAAAATCTTTATTAAAATTTTTATTATAATTATTTTAAATTTTTATTATTTTTTTAATATTTTATTTATTTAAATTTTTAATTTTATAATTAATATTAATATTTAATAATAATAAGTATATTTTAAATTATAATTTTTATAAGTATATTTTTAAAATTATAAATTATATTTTTAAAATTATAAATAAATATATAATTAATAATAAAAAAATTTAAATTAATTATAATTTAATAAAAAATTATTTAAAAAAATAAATCTATATATATATATATATTAATATTTATTAAAAAATTTATTAAAAACATTTTTAATAAATTTTTTTTGAGATTTTCTCTCCTCAAAAAATATATATTAATTGTTTATTTTGAAGTTGTTTAATACAAAATAAATTTTGTATTTATTCGTGAATGGACTTTTAATCCTAATCCTAAACAATCCTTAATCAACACAGAATCTTGACGCAAATGTAGAAAATTCTATAAAGAATCATTTAAAGAATAAATTATTGAATGCCAAAATTATTATAACAATTAGAACAATCGCGGAATATCCGAAAATCTTTCAATACTCAGAAGTTTCACAATCTTTTGACGTTTCATCATTATGCAGCAATACATATTTTACACGTGTGTGCGACATGTAACATTACATCATAAAGTAATATTAACGTGCAGTTGCAAAATTACTATGATTATTTATTATTATTTATTATTTCAAACAAAAAGACACGCGCTCTCAGTGGTGATAATATATAATATAATATATTTATATATTTATATATGCTGGTGTGTTTTATGTGAGTGGTGTTTTGTATGGATGTGGAAAGTTTTTATTATGTATGTACAGTAGTAGTAATAAAATAATTTTATATATATAAAAATAAGAATAATGAAGGAGTTATCAGCAGGCGTAGTAGTAATAATGAAGTAAGCAGCAGTAGTAAAAAAAAAACGAATTGAAAAAATATATATACGAAAAGAATCGATTGACGATGCGATTAAACGAATAGAATTGTTCGTGAATTTGATAGTATCGAAAAAAAAAATGCGATGTTCGTAAATAACGCGAAAAAAGTACGATTTCTTGTCTGAAAATTGGAAAAAAATAATAAAAAAAATGAAAAATATAAACAGGCTCTTGTCTGAAAATAAATAAGCCAATCAGCACCATTTTAAATAAGAATGGCATTGATTTAGTTGATGGCTGTGTTTGAAGAGAAAAAAAGAACCTATATCAACGTGTCGCTGACACGTCCTCTCTTGCCTTCATAGAAATAATAAAAAACTTTTGTGGAAAATAAATAAAATATATTTTCCGAATATCAACAATAGAATGAAGATCAATGCAATTTTGCATCAAGCTTCATTATGAATGTCCATTCAAAATTAAAAGAAAATTCTTCCTCTTTATCAAACAAAATCAAAATGTCTTGTTTTTTTTTAACGCGTATCCTTAAGAAAGATGCACGTTTTTTATACAAATTTTTCTCCTCGTTCCAATAGTGTCACTAAACCGGCGAGCACTTTTGCCATACCGTCACCTAGTAGACCTCGGTATTTGCCTTTGCCGCCATTAATTGCAAATTCGTGCTTCATCGCTTGATCAATAAGCATTGGGATGCTTAGCGTAAGACGCGCTAGTTGAAGGGTCAGTCGTAGTCGTCCAAAAACATCGAAATATGATAACGATCGAAGTTCTTGTTGGAGATCGTATACTCGCATGAGCTCAAATTGCACAATTTTGATGTATTTTTGGCCGGCTTTATGATTAAAAAAAAGATTAACAATTTGATTAAGGCAACATTGAAAGTTGTTATGATTAGAAACTCACCCAAGAGAAGTTCCCTCATTCTTCGAAAAGCGTGCTCTAAGGTTTCAATTGCGTCATCTCCAAGATTCAAACTCGGATTGCCCTCGTTGAGCGCATCTATAATTAAAGATTAAATTGTTAGGATTATTGTTATAATAGTATATATTATAGTAATACTAATAATTACACGTGATAATACTTACTGACTAAGGCGCGTATCATTTCGAAGTCGCCATCCATGAATTCCAAAAACAACTGCAGACATATTCACCGAAATCTTTGATTAGTTATATGTAACGAATAATAGTGACAATGGATGATTAGGGGTTCGGGTGTCGAGGGCAAGGAAAGGAACGAAATAGGAGAGAGATGATAGATCGAAAGGGAATGATTATTTCTCAAGTTACCTGATATAGAACACCATGTAAAGTTTCATCACCCATTCCGCTTGCATTGCCAAGATCGCTTGATCCTGATACATCATATGCACGACGACTAGATGGTTTATTTAGTGTTTCGTATGCATATGAAAGTTCTGTGAATAACCAAAAGAGACATGTGTGTTAATTTCGCTCGCACTCCTTCTACTTTGGTCATAAGAAAAACCTTGGACTTACTTTGGAATGCTTCTGTTGCTTTTGGATATCCAGGGAATTTATCTGGATGGCAAATTCGTGATCGCTAATTTGTGTGAACCACAAAATATTTCTTTAATGAGAAACATTTTAATATGCACGAATGAAATAAAAAACATAAAAACCAAACATACACTAATATAAGCCTTCCGTAGTTCTTCTGAAGTTGCAGTTCTCTCAATACCGAGTATATTATATAGATTAGTTTCCTGACAAATCTCATCCACTACTCGATATCTCAGTGAATTATCAACGCCCCGTTTAGTCTTCGGTATTTTGGTGTTTCCCATATTACCTTCAGCATTCATTGCGACAGCAGCAATGTTTGAAGCAGTTGTGTTTGTTGGGAAGTTTGTGCAAGCTGATGGCGGCATTTTTGTGGTTCTAGCGTATGCTCCTTTTTGAAAGGTATGTTTTGAACTTCGGTGTTGTTGCTTATGGTTAGTATGGTAATTGTTACTGTTGTAGTTATAGTGAAAGTGGAATTCTGATTCGAAACTTTTAGAAATGTTTTTTTTGTTTGGTGGTTTGCTATTCGGTTGCTTTGCGTAGCTCTCGTTGTTTGTTGTGGTAGGAGTGGTTGCTGCTGAATTAGTGGAGTATTTATTCCCAAAAACTGCTGAAGAAAGATAATTGAGAACGTACATTGGGTAAAATGTCAGAAGGAAAATTAATTTTTTTTGAATAAATGAGCAAAAGGGGGTGTGGTGAGCGTTAGTGTGTGTATTTTATGTGACGCTGAGATAGAAACAGCAAGCTTTTTTATCGCCTTTTTTTTTGTTAAAAAAACGACAAACAAGCGATTATTCTTGTTTCTTTTCTCAGTTAGTCGTTCGGGTGTTGTGTGTGTGTTTGCGACAAGTATTCAAGTTATTGCGTAGCATCATACCCCGATATACAATGATGATTGAACAGATATATATGACAAGCGAATGAATGTTTGTACACACAACATGCAACACATTATTAAGTGAAACAATGGTATAACGTAAGATGATTGGAGCATATCGTTCAATAGTCGAAGCAACACACAACACACGAGAGACAGGAAATCGGAGGAGAGATGGAGACGACGACGCGGAGATTAAAGTGCGCGAGACAAATATACATACGTTTTTTTTTTTTAAGAGATATCGAGAGAATAGCGATGGTGATGTCGAGTTAGAGAGATAAAGTTGTGCGTGAGAGTAGAAGAGAGAAAGAGAAAAGGAGAAAAGATTAGTTTTTTGTTTTCTCGATTGATAAAAAGTTTTTCTCGGGTGTCAAATTAATAAACAATGATGGTTGAGGACGACGAGCAAAAGTAAAAAGATGTCCAATCTAAAAAAAAATTTAACAAACAGGGGGGAGAATAGATTATATATAAAAAACTATTGACAAACTTTTTATGGTCAGGTTTTACTATATTATTTTTTGTGTGTGTTTTTTATTATTGTGTATGAATTTCAAATGGGGTGTGAAGAATAAGAATATATTAAGTTAGTTTTTGTATTATTCTTATATATAAAAAAATAAAAGATGCAATGCTATTCTTAATAAAATTTCTGCTGCCTGTCTGTTGCTGCTGCTGCTGATGCTTTTTATGTATGGTATAAAATAACAAGCATGAAAATCACACGAGAATTGATCACTCTTTGACCTAATCAACGATTAAGTTTATTTGATAAATAATTGGATATGGATATGAATGTGGATGATTCCTTCGATTTGATGATGATGATGATGATGATTATGATTGTGCTGCTGTTGTTGCAGCACTTTATCATCGATAACGAGAACAAATGGAATGAGGATGAAGGTTGTCGTAGTCGTTGGTCTTCTTCGTTGTCGTTGTCGTCGTCGTCGTGAAATAAAGACGCGATGACGCATTGTATTGAACGATCAATATCATCATCAAACCAGATCCACCACACACATTCACATATAAACCACTAACGTTAACAGACTCGGGAAACAAGAGGCGTGAACACGAGGTAAACGGAATACAGCAAAGACAAGACAGGCAGGGGCGAAGTAAAAAGATTATTCTCTGTTTGTCTCAGAGTATCAATTTATGTGTATGCTAATAATATTAATATTAATAATAGTAATAAATAGTATTGTAACACTTACATTTTGTTCCGTCTTTATTTGTACGTTTAGGTATATAAAAGGTGTTTTTTTTTTGGTGGTGGGTGGTGGTGATAATAAATGCTGGTGCAGATAGTAATGATTGTGTTGGTGTAAATATTTTGGTATTTCTTGTTATTGTTAAGAAAAATGAAAAAATTGTGAAGTTCACATGTTAGTGCACGTACACGTTATAATATTCAGAGGGATAGAATGAATGAGTAACCGATTTTAGCTAATCCTCCTTATTAATAAAAATTTGTATTAATAAATGCCCCTCCTTGGAAGTCAAACAAGTGTTGGTGGTGTTACATTTAACGTCATCGATCAACATAACAATGATCTTCATCACACATGGTGATATCGCATTAACACGTGTCGATATGATGATGATGTTGTTAATGTTGATGTTTATCAAATTTCTTCGTTATGCCGGATGATTATGATGCGATTGGTTCTGAAGATTTTGCGAATGGTTTTTTTTTTTTACATAAATAGAGAGTATCACCCCACCCAGTTTTTGTTCTCGTTTACACACCCACTCTTTTTATCTTTATCTATCTCCCCTTTTTTTTTCCCTTCGTCCACGAATTCTAGCGTCATCATTACTAATTGCTCCCGATCATCCCTTCCCACGATGATTTATTTTTATTAAATTGCACTTACCACTTATTTTTAATTTTATTGTCGTAGGACGTGCGACGATTATGTGCCCCGATTAATTATTAATTGAAGGCGGGAAATCAGCAACACGCGTAACAGTGGAGAAAGTAAAGATAGAAACGAACAAGCAGATGAGATTTATGAAAAAGGATAATGATTTACTCGTCTTAAGATTGTGTAAATGTATGTATATATTATATATATATTATATTATAAATATGTGTGTATGTGATATATAGTATGTATGTGCGTATTGCGTATTCGTGTGTGCGTATATATAGGGTGAGTGGGTGTGTAATCTTATAATCTTATTTTTTTTCTTTGGATCAGAGGGTGGTAATTTTTCTATTAAAAGAGGAAGCAGAATGGTGTGATAATAAATTTTAAGATTTGAAATTTTTCGTCTGATTTTTTGATTGGGAAAGTGTATGTCCAAGTGTACAATTTATAAACGGATATGAAAAATATACAAGTCAATTTTATTTAGAGGTAAGCTGACGAAAGTTGGGGGGTGAGCGAAAACGAATGAGAACACCCAAAGAATACAATTAATAATTATTATTATTAATTGTATTATTCTAAGTAAAGGTGGTTGGTTGGTGGAGGATGTAGATGTAGATTTTTGAAATGAGAAAATTTTATCTTTGACAATATTTTTATTATTAGTAGTCTATTAGTTAATGCTTGTGTGTGCCTGTGGAAGGCGAATACCAAATACAAAGGTCAAAACTAACAGGAACTGAACGCAAAAAGAGAAATCACAAAATTTACAAAATTTTTTTCACACTCTATAAATATGTGTGTAATCAAATCGTTTAATCAATCCCATTCCCAATCCTCGATATGCCTGTTGACAACTAGATTTTGATCGGTTCTTTTAGCCATTATTATTCATTATCATTGATAATATAAAATAAGGATTGAACGGTCACGCGGCGCAAAACTTTGAAGCATTGTCTTTTTGCGGTTTAGTGTACAGGTTAGGAATAATTAAACTTAGTTTTTTTTTTTCGCCGCTCGCCTATATAATAAATTATTGCGCCCATCTCGATCTAATTTGTAATTTACCCCCAACATTAACCTACATAATAATAATTACCGTAATTATTATGTTTTGGGTACTATATATGGGGTGAAGATGTTGGTTGTACTACGGGAAATGCAAAAAAAAACAATGTATTAAGCGACCGGATTCATCACTTCACCTTTCTGTACTTTATAATCGAAAAGAAAAGTAACCTAACAGTGGGCTAGCTGCAAGAAATCCGAAATTGGGCTGGAGCTGATGTTCATTTTGCATGTAACAGAAAAAATTCTTGATTACGTACTTAGGGACCCAGAAGAAAAAAAATTCAAATCTTGCATTTTTTTCTCACGAAAAGGTGGTTAAATTGGTTCGTTAATAAAGGGTAACCTTTCAATTTCCCATATTCATTCAGTTAAAATATCTCCCTCTTTAATAAAAAATGTCACTGATGAATGATGTTTTTTTGACAGCTTTATAGCATGTTTTGTGTTTGGCAGTTTCATAAAACAGAAAAGGGAAGGTTGTACACATGAATTTCTCACGTGTATGTCGTGCTCACCTTTGACTTTTCCTTCGAATAATAGGGTTTTCCATCCCCATTGAGGATCGATTTATCAATTATCACAGATTAAAGATTGATCTTGCCGCATTTATGTTTATACATTTGTTGAATCGAAAGTCTGTTTTACATTTTTATTATGGGAAAAAATCGGTAATGATTTTGTTGCCAAATATTTTGATAACAAACGCGTCATATATTATAATTGTTTGTTACGAGTAAAAATCCCATGATCTTTCTATCGGGAAAAAAAGCACGCTATAAGTTAAAAAAAAAGAGTCCATGATCTCCATCTAAACATGCAATATTTAAAACAAATGTTCCCGTATGATTCTTTCAAAAATTCCGTGTCTTCATCACTGCCTTGTTGCAAAACAATCAGAAATCACATTTTTCAACGTGTCAGCATCAGCAGTCGTAAACAATGTTCCCGGATAATTTTTACTTCCCCATTGTGGGTGAAGTAGAATGTGACAACATCCAGCGTTTTGCACATCATATTTTAAGAGTTGTTGTGCGCCCTGTACATCCGGATACATTGATGGACCACGCGAAGAAAAAACCTTGACAAATTAATTAATATCATATTAATTTGATTTTGAAAATATTCTCGAGCATATTAAAGTTTTACTTACAGGAAATCCCGAAGCTGGGTCTGTAATATCCGCCCAATGCCCATACTGTCGCAATTTTTCACAAATCGATGTTCCCCATTCCATAAACTGATTCGATTAAAAAATCGAATTTTTAAATTTGTCAGAGCACTGTATAACTAGAGACGCCAATGATTCAAAAACACAAAAACAAAATCCTAAAAAAAAAAAATACATACGACTTCCAATCTTACGTCTCTTTCCTTATCAACTAAAGGACCAATGCCCACAAGATCGTGTTCACACTTTTGAAAGGTAGGTACGACAAGACACCGGTCCAAATTTGCAACCTTTGGAAAAACTGCTTCGAGTTCCCGTAAGAAACGAGAAGAACACGCATGGATAGAGTATTCTATTGTTACGAGTTGACATGTTCTTGGAGTCAAATATGTCAGAACCGTAGGTGTTTGTATTTCTACGGAGCGTATCTTTGTGGGGCGGGAAGAACGCAACTTGTTTTTTGATGTTGGTGACATTTTTTTTTATTGATCTAATTAGTAGAATATGATGTTATATAGAACCTCAGTGTAACCAACAAAAAAAATAGAACATGTGACTTCAATAATGCATAAATTTTTGATCGGTTCATCAAAAATATATTGAGAAGATAATTATAAATGAGCTTGATCTTTAATCTTATTCTAATAATTTTCCAGAACAAAATTAAAAGATCGATATATCAATATAAAATAATAATTGTTTTTAATAAAAATCATTCAAATTTAATATTAAATAAAGATATTATTTAATTATTCTAATTATACTTTAATTTAATAATAAATAAAGCATTACTTTGCTAAAAAAAACTAAAATAAAATTATTTTTTTAAAAAAAAGATATTTTAAATATTATCACTATCAATTTACAAGATTAAAACTTTAAATTATACAAGCAGATTATTCTAAATTTGATAAATATATATTTTAAATTTTATAAAAATTAAATCAGTAGTTATAAAGATATTAAAATTCAAAGTTTAAAATATTTAATATATAATTTTTATATAGTAAAATTTAAGAAATAATAATTCAAAAAAGTTTATATTAATAAAATTTTTTTATAAAAGATATATAATAAAAATTTTTATATTTAAATAAATTTCAATATCTAATAACTTAAATAAATAAGACAGAATTAAAATTTTATTTTAAAAAAATAATCTATTAATATTTATTTAATATACTAATTTTTTTATATCATACTATATTATAATTTAATAAAAAATTATTTTATATATATATATATTAAAAAATTAATTTTAAAAAATAATCTAAATTAATTTTTTATTTATTTTAACTATATATTAAAATTCTGTAAAATATTGTATAAAAAATAATTTTAATTATTTTTTTATTAAATATTAAAAATTTATTATAATTTAATAAATAAATAAATAATATATAAAATATTTTATTAAAAACTTATACAATAATTAGCTTTAATTTAAATAAGTATTATTCAATATTTCAAAAAAAATATTATTATTATTCTTAATTAAATAGATAAATTAATAAACTAAATATGATATTTAATTAATTGAAAAGAATAAAAAAATATTATTAATAATTATATTTACTTGAGAAAATAAATTAGATAATTATTTATTAAAAAAAATATTTTTGAAAGAAATAAATAAAAAATAATAATGATAATATTTATAAATTTATTAAAAAAAATATATAATATATTAATATAATTCTTAATTATTTTTAATTAAAATTAATAAAATATATAACTAATTAAATAAGTAATTATAAAATATAAATAAAAAAATATTAAAAAATAATTTTTACTAATTAAATAAATTAAAATTAAATACATAATAAAAATAATTATAAAAAAAAGATATACTAGAAATATTAATTAATTTCTTATACTTTTATCTTTTAATTATAAGTTTTAATAAATCTATTTAATTTATTAATTTTTTTTATAATAATTTAATCTATATTTATATAAAATATAATTTAATTTAAATTAATTATATAACTTATTATTAAGTATTATATTAAATAAATTAATAATATATTAAATATAATAATAATTTAATTAATATAATATTATTTAGATTAATATTTTATTATATTAATTTAGAATATTAATAAAAAATTAAAAAGTAGAATATATATTTAAGATAATAAAAAATATAATCTAATTATTAATTAAGTAATTAATATTATATTAAAGAAAATAAATTATAAAGATAAAAATTTAATAAAAATTAATAAAAGATAATAAAAAATAATAAAAAAAAGATTATTAAAGAATAAAATATAAAAAAAATTATAATAATAATTAAAATTATAAAATTAATAAAAGAATAAACTGATAATAAAATTTTTTAGTTAAGAATTTTTTTTATAAAATTTATATAATAATAATAGATTTTAATTTATTAAATTTATTATAAAGCTTAAAATAATTTTTATTATAAGAATTTTTCAAGATTTTATTATCTAAAATATGTAATTTATTAGCTTTTTTATTAAATTTATCATATATCAAGAAGAACTCTTTCTATTTTTTATTAAATTTATTATAATATTAATATTATATTTTTATATACTTTATTAGAATTTTATTATTTATTTTAAATACTTAAATAATTTTATTATAAATATATTATTTTTTTTATTTTTATTATATAATCAGATTTTATTAAATTATAATTTTCTAATTAACTATTATAATTAATTATAATTCTTTAATTAATTATTATAAGTCATAATTAATTAAGATAATATCTTTAGTTTTTTATAAATTATATATAATAGTTGATTAATCAACTCTTCTTTTTCATATTTAAAATTTATTATTATTATCAAGAATAAACTTCTTCAGCTTTCTTTTAAGACTAATTAATTTTATTATTAATCTCTATTATATATAGATAACTAAAATAATAATTTATTTTTTCTTTATTTTAAAATTGAGAAATTCATTATCTTAATTCAAAATTACTTTAGACTGATTTATACATTTTCATAATATATTACCAGAAATTTCAAAAATGAAACTATCATTTTGAAACTCAATTTCTTGTAATCTAGTAATCTTATTTAAATAAAGATATTATCATAAGATTTGTAAAGTTGCAATAAATTTAATAGAGTATTTTTATTTAAATTAGATTATTGAATTTTGAGATATTGGATTTCAAAGCGACAAATTTATTTTTAGAATTTCTAGTAATATATTATAGAGATATGTATCTATTGATTATTAAATAACAGATTATATTTAACTTTTTTCATTATTAAAGTATTTACTTATTAATATAGATTTTTAATTTTTATCTTCAAGTTTTTTACTTATTTTAATGATTATTTGAATTTTTTATTTATATTAATAAAATTGATATTTGATAACTTATTAATTATCCTATTTATTTACTTTAAGAATCTTATTAATATAATATTACTAACTAATTTACTATTAATTATAATTTATATAGACTGATCTTTTATTATTTCTTTATAATAAATTATATCTATTACTTTTTTATTCTTTTTTCTAGATTTTTATTCTTTTTTATAATTTTATTTAATAATTATTATAAGAATATAATTAAAGATTTTTAAGAAAAATTTATATTCTAATCTTTTTCAGGTATAAATTTTAGTTTAAATGAATATTATTTTAAGTATTATTATTATTATTATTAATAATAGTAACTATTTATTTTTTTAATAATTATTATAATTATTATAAGAGAAGAGTATTATTTGAATTTATAATAGTGATATTAATATTAAGTTTTGTAAATTATCTATTAATAACTTTTTTAATATAATTATTTGTATAATATTTTATTTTATTATATTTAAAATATATTATATTTGATACTACTACTATTATTCTTCTTTAGTAATCTATAATTTTGAGTTGTATACTTATTTTTATTATAATTATAATAGATCTTATTATTATTAGAATAATTATTAGAACTTTAATTATTCTAAGTAAATAACTTTTATACTTATTTAGTTAAATTAGTTATAATTTTACTTATATTAAATATTAAATTTGAAGTACTAAAAAAAATATCAAAATTTTATGATATAAAAGATATAAAATTAAGAAAGTTTTGATATATTTATTTATAACTTAATTTAATATTAATTATTTCTATAATTATTATATTCAAATTATTAAAACTAGACTTATTTACATAAAAAACTATTTTTAATTTCAAGTCTTTTACAAATTACTCTATATAATATATATTTAAATAGACATATATAAGATTAATTTTTTAAAGTAATATATAATTATCTTTTATATATAAAATTATATTTCTTATATTTTGAGTTTTAACTATTATTATTATGTCAAAACTTGAATATTTATTCTAAACTAATTGATAAAAAAATTATAAAATAAGTTATTATTTTTATTAATATTTTAACTTATTAGCTAATTATTATTTATAATTTTATTTTATTAAAATTATATAATTACAACATCTCTTAAATAGATAGATATTATTTTTATTTTTCTTGTATTTATAATATTATTAGCATTAACTAATTACAATTAATTAAATCTTTATATACTTTTCTATTATATATAAGAAGTAGTATTATTAATAACTTAACTTGTCTATTCTATTTTTTCTTGATTTTTTTAAGATTATAATTGAGATAAGTTTAAGATTATAGAAATCTGAACTTTATCTTTTAATTCTTTTTTTTTATATTTCTTAACTGAACTGAAACTATACTTTTTATATATAAGAGATTGATAAAGAAGATATTGAATAATAAAGTTAAGGTTAAAGATATTATCTTAATTAATTATAATTTAAAATAATTAATTATGATAATTAATCAGAAAATTATAATCAAGTTATGATATTATCTTTAGCTAAAATAGATAAAATAGAATTAGAGTCATTGGTAAATTTGATAGACATCAGATCAGTGATGATTAGTAAATATGCTGATTATCGCTGATTTTTTGATTACACCGACCCAAAATCTGCGCAGAACTCTGAAAATAGAAATTT